ATCCCACAGCCAGCAAGTGGCAAGGCTGGAAAAGCTAAGATATTTGGCTCCAAAGTCCTTACACCTAGCCATGGTCCAAGGCCATCTTCATGATCACTAAAAGTGGCTTCTTGGGCCAGCTATGGAAGCACATGTCTACAATACAAGCACTCAGGAGACTTAGGCAGGAGGATAGTGAGTTTGAGGCTGCAGAGTGAAACCCTGTCTGAAAAACATTAATAAAATGTAGTTTCTCAGGGCATCCATTGGTGGGAATTTGCATGGGAAAGAATTCTCAGTTGAGAAGTGGCTGGGCAGGGGCACAGAACCAACAAGGCATTTTGGCAAGGTGACAAATAACTGGGTGAAGTAGGAGCCTGTGGGTTTTTGAAGGATGATGGAGAAGTGAGCGTCAGAGGGGCTTGGGTCTCTGAAAAAGATGCCACACTCTTCCTATGGTCACCAGGCCTGAGTAGCAGAAGAGTGAGAAGCTGTTCACAACTGTTAAACAGGAAAGTGGCATTATGGGATTGGCCACTTAGAAGGATAGCTGTGGCCTGAAGAGCTGGCTTATTTTTTGTTTATCTTTTTCTTCATTCATGTGTCCAAATGCCAACTGCATAGCAGACTTTGTGTGGACTTGGGTGAGTCACTGAACCCCTGTATGCCTGGGGTCTCAGCTGCAGCATCTGGGGGTGATCCCTGCTGTCCTATCTCGCTCAGTGGTCATGAGAATCAGATGTGATGATGGCCATCCCTGGGCTTTGTGGGTAGAAACACAGCACAGAACAGTGGCTTGTATGACTGTTGAGTGGGGCCATCTTTAAAAGCCTACTGCCACTGAATGTCTGAGGACTTCCCTTCCCAAGGCTATTTGCTCTGCCCTTGTGAGGCAAACTCATCCTGCCCTGGCTCATACAGTGGGCCTGGGAGCCCCTGCTTCAAGCTACCTCGGGATTCACCTGTGTGTAAAGCGGACCTGTTCCCTCTTCCCTCTGAGATGAGCTCTGAGAACAGTGAGAACAGTGATGTGCTTGCCTGCTCGTTCCTCTGTAAGAGCTCAGGCACACCTACTTTGAGTCCCATCTCTGTCTTTTCCTTGTTAGATGACCCTGAAAAGCCACTTAACCTGCCCAAGCTTCAGTTTCTATATCTGTAAAATGAGGTAGAAATACCCACGCACATGAAGGTCAAACAAGTCAGGCATCCATACCGGAGCTCCCAGAAGAGGTGAGCAGGAGACCACACAGTGCTGTGACTCCAAGTGGGCTCAGAAGCTTGTGTCTCAATGGAGAATTCTAGGGAGATTTTGTTTCTCAGAAGAACTGGGCCTCTGAGGTATTGGGGGATAGGAAATGTAGGGGTATCCTTGAGCTGGGACTCAGGACTTCTATGGTTCAATTTCTGCTCTCCTGCTGACTTGCTGTGGGTCTGGGACCAGGACACCTGTCTCCCTGGACCTCAGTTTCCTCATCATTCACACCAAATAAGTTGAACCAGAACTAAACGAAGTCTTTAAATTACAGAATAAGGCCATTTTACCACAGCAGTAGCGTTCTTAATAGCCATCGCTTTCAGCAAGTGCTTGTGCCCGCCCCCCCCCCCAGATTCCCAAGTACCCGCGATGAGCGTTTTAAATCCCCCCCGTTTCCACAAAGTGCTGCGCCCCCCCCCCCCCCCCCCAGATTCCCAAGTGACATAAAGGACTAATACCCAAGTTGGAAGCACTTTTGGAATCTGGCCCTGTGGTGCTTGATAAATCCTTCATTCTGCTGTACTGTCTGCCTCCTTTATCCTCCAACTCTGCTTTTAAGTGACAATTGTCAGCTCTCCATTTTTAAAAAATCAGTTTCTTTTTAAATTATGCATGTTAAAATAGGGCTGGAGAGATGGCTCAGTCAGTAAAGTGTTTGTCTTGCAAGCACAAAGACCTGAGTTCAATCCCCAGAACCCACATACAAATTCTGGGCATGGTGATGTGCCCACTGCTGGGGAGGTCTGAGGACAGTCAGATAGATCCCTGAGGCTTGCTGGCCAGTCAGCCTAGCCTGCTTGGCAAGCTCTAGGCCAGCAAGAGACCCTGTCTCAAGAACAGGTGCAAAAAAAGGTGGATGTCACCTAAGGAAAAGCACCAGGGTTGTCCTCTGACCTTCATATGCCCACACACACACACGGGCACACACATGTGCCTTCATATACATGAGTATGCATACATACACACACAAAGTTAAAATAAAAATCCTTGATCTAGGCACTTGAAAACCCTACCATTAACATTTTGATATTTGTGTATGTCTTGTGGGTTTAGCTCTCTGGAAGCACCATCTAAACCTACGACAGGAGCCAAGTGTTCCCAGGAGCAGACTGTGTAGCTGTGGTGTCAATCCCAGGGAAGCTGCACAGCTCTTGGGCCCTCTGAACAGGCACTGTGGGTCCTGCTCACGTCAGGCAATATGAGCTATAGAGAAAACAAAAATCCCTTTTAAAACAAGAGACTGGAAGAGATCCTAATACCCAACTGCTGCTGTCCTCAGTTAGACACTGACCATGTGTCTGTCATGTGCCAGGCAGACGTCCCTCTGCATATCCCAAATTCATCAGCACTCAGCACAAATCTTTTTAGTGTTTACTTGTATGTACCAGGCAATCTTCTGGACTCTGGGCACATAGTGAGCAATACAGAAAGGGCACTCGCCTCACAGAACTGGAATTAGAAAGAAACATAGTAAGTAGATAAGTACCTCTACGTTTCCCATCCTCACTCCCTGAGCCCTTGCACTACTCTATTATTTTCCTCACATGGTTAGTCTGTGTGAGTGTGTGTGTGTGTGTGTGTGTGTGTGTGTGTGTGTGTGTAAAATTAAAGCAGTGTGAGGAGGAGTCAGGGAGTGGCTGGGGAGAGAGGATCAGAGCTGCTGTGGGCAGGAGAGAAGTCATAGTTGTGGAAGGATGTGTGATCTATGTGGATATTTACAGGAGAACAATTCATCTGATGAAAGCAAAGGCTTAGCTCATTTGCATAAAGCAAAGGAGGCCAGGGTGTCTTCAGCACAGAGCGTGATTATGGAAGAGCAGTAGGGAGGCAGATCTTCTGTGATCTTTAGGCCCCAGTAAGGATAGGAAGGGTTGAGAGCAGAGAAGTGGTCTGATATTTCACTTTGGTTGTGAAAGTGAGTAGTTATCACCCTTTGATGGATGCTCAGAGTGACTGGCTCACTTGCCAAGAGCAAGTGAATGTTACAGCTAGGACCTGAACCCAGGTCTGCCTCATCCCCTAGGCCTCTCATCAGCACAGCTACCTGCCTGGAGGGAATACTGACGTTGTTCTGAAGAGCTTCCAACCCCTGCACTCCTCCCAGGCACTGTGGGAACCTCAGAGGCCCTGAACCCCAGCAGAAGAGCTGGTCACTGGTGGACCCAGGCTCTGCTTTGTGACTGCAAAGGAGAAGGCCCCACTAATACCTCAGTATTAGAAGCCCCAGCTGAAAACCAATGTTACTTTGTTCCTGGGATGTTAGTGACATGAGACCTTCATATGGTCTTTACAGTTCCTTCCCTTTGGTTTGAGGAGGTGGTACGCGAAAGCAAGGCCGCAGAGAGTACACAGGGTTATGGAGCAGAGGGCCTAAGCTCTGGACTCTGACAAACCCAATTCCAGGGCCAACTCTGCCACCTGTTCACCATGTGATATGACCTTAGAAAAGTTACTTCTCTAAGTCATGTTCTACCAGCCTGCAAGGGGGAAATGACAGTGCTGGCTTGGGAGGGGTATATGTGGGAATGCATGTAAATCAGCTGCAGAGCTCCTGCCACAGCAAACCGAGTGTTGTAGCTAGATATAGGGAACTGCCATCGTATTTCACATCAGCCCAGGGACCCTCCTAGCAACCTGCTTAGCTAGTGTAATCCCCAGTGTATAGGAAGGAGGAGTAAGAGAGGTTAAGGTTCTTACCCAAAATCACATAGCAAGAAGTTGGCATAAAAAAAAGCCTTGAATCTGGATATTTTGTTCTCAAGGCCTGGTAAAGGCAAAAGGTCCCCGGCAGAGCTGCAACCCAGGAGTGTCTTGCTGCCATCTGTCCCCTCAAGTGTGTCTTATTGTAAGGTAGCAGCAGTCTTGAAACTAGCCGGAAGTGGGATCCAGAGTGTTTCAGGGTAAGTGGCGACCCAGATGGGCAAGGGTGGCTATCTATATTCTGGGTTACAATCAGGTGAATCGGAAAGCACTACACTATCCTCAGGTAGGGGCAAAGAGCTCTCCCCTGTGTCTTCAGGCGACTGTCATCCTTACTAATCAGTTACCAACCAGGGGTCCCTCAGGTGAAACGCCAACCAGGGCCAGCATCAACTCAGGGACTTCAGAAAATACAGATTCTTGGGTCCCTTCTCAACCCACTGACTGAGTCCCTGGGGTCATGCTGGGCCTCAACAGAGCACAATTTCCCAGGATGCTCTGCTGTTTTGGAAGACAATGGACACAGTGCTTGGTTTTCTTTTGACTTTAGAGAAGCCATGTCCCTTGTTGCTACTTAAGCAGATGTGGGGCCAGTCAAGTACAAAAGAAAAGATGGGCTTTATATCCAATAAACAAACTTGAATTTTTGCTTTGAGCCTTGCTTGCTAGTGACCTTGGCAAATCTCATTATGGCACCACATGCCAGTTTCCTCATTTTTAGTGTGAGGATAACTCTGCCTACCTTGCATAGCCTATTTTGAAGAAAATGCATATAACATGCCTAGCTTAGGACTAGGCACATGCCAGTCTTCCTCCATGAGAACTGTGATTGGATGCACACAGCTGCCAGCCACACGGGTTTGTATAGAGACCATTCCCTCTGGATGCTGTGTACCAGGTAGACCCCTTGCACACATGGCTTGCACACTGACCTGTTGCCTGAAACCCATGTCCCTGCTGGTCTCACGCACAGCCACACCCAACAGCCACTTTTCGTGTGTTTCTCTACTATCCCCTTCATCGGTGCATGACTCATTGCTTCATTCATGTCTCCATGTGTGCGTAGAAACCTAGGCAAGCAGCCCTTCCTAGGGACATTGCAGGACAACCTCATTGAGATGGACATTCTCAGCGCCTCCCGCCACGATGGGGCTTACAGTGACGGGTAGGTGGCACCCCCATGCTCCTCCTCCCTGTGTGTGCTCTTCCTGTCGCTCCTGCACTTGCCTGCAGACCCCAAGACCTTTCCCTGGGAACACCTGGGGGAAGTGATACCATGTTGCATGCCCATCCCCAAGTCCGTGTTCAACTTGCAAGTTTGTCTTTGGAATACCCTGCCCCTCCCCAGCATATTAACAGCAGTCTTGTTAATATGCAGCTCTTGGCATCTCATTGGCTGCCTTTGCCATTCTGGAAACCATCTCACATAGCAATCTTTATGCAACATAGGCCCTGTGCCTTATGCATTCTGGCCTTGAGTTTGTACTCTGTGGCCTGCGTGTCTTCTACCACCAGGAGAGATAGACTTGTCCTAAGATTTCAGGGGTATGCAGTGAAAGTCATACACCCCATTTCCCAAGCTATGTGTAAGTTGTCCCATGGCCATGGTTCAAGCCAAGCTGTGGAAGCTTTCCAGACACCTTGTTTGGCCACAACCATGTGCTTTGACCATATCCTGCTGTGCTCAAGACTGCAACCAGACTGTGGAATGGAGCCATCCATCTGTCTACACAGCTTTCACCTGGGCTCTGTAGATAGTAGCCAAGCAGATGGCTCTAAAGGCATTGTGACCAGCCACACAGTCGGGGCAGAATTTAGCGGGGTTTCCACCCCAACAAATCCCCATTTAAATAGAAGGGGTTCTGCTGGGCACAGTGGCGCAAGCCTTTAATCCTAGCGCTTGGGAGGCAGAGGTAGGCGGATCTCTGTGAGTTCAAGGCCAGCCTGGTCTACATAGTGAGTTCCAGGACAGCTGGGGCTACAGGGAGAAACACCAAAAAAATTGAAAAAAAAAAAAAGAAAGAAAAGAAAAGAAAAGAAGGGATTCCGATGGTTATAAATTAAAAAAAAAAAAAGAAAGAAAAGAAAAGAAAAGAAGGGATTCCGATGGTTAACCAAGGTACAGGGGAATTCAGGTATTAGAGCAAGAGAAAAAAAAATTAAGTCCCAGTTGTCTCCAGGGAATAGACAGGATTTTTGACACTTCCCAAGCTATCATAATGACTTTAGAAAAGTGTTTGCTTCCAAAGACCAAGCCCTCACTAACCCCCAGGTCCCATTGTTCCCAGGAAAAGGACTTCCAGGGCAACCTCTGTTGAATGGGTAGCACCTTCTGACTTGGGTGGGTTTTCCTACAGGGAGCGTTGTCCCATTTGTGCTCCGTGGAAACATGTCTTCCTGCACCTCTTTGTGATCTGGTTCGTGATTCTCCCTGACCCTGTCATCTTCCCTGTGGTGATTCTCTCTTTCTCCAGGCTCCTCTGCATGCTTCTTCTGCGCTCTGTCCTGCAGGTTGGCCTGGGCGCCTGGTCAGCTGGCAGGCCCTGAAACCTTCTCACCTCTCTCCATCCATAGGCACTTCCTCTTCAAGCCTGGAGGCACCTCCCCACTCTTCTGCACCACGTCTCCAGGGTACCCTCTAACATCCAGCACCGTGTACTCACCCCCACCACGGCCCCTGCCCCGCAGCACCTTCTCCCGACCAGCCTTTAACCTCAAGAAACCCTCCAAGTACTGCAACTGGAAGTGCGCAGCCCTGAGTGCTATCGTCATTTCAGCTACCCTGGTCATCCTGCTGGCGTACTTTGTGGGTAAGCACATCCTCCCCCTAGCTCCCCAAGTCTCCCCTTTGGCCCAGAGGGCAGAAACTAAAGTAACTGGGGCCACAGAACCACAACACACAGTCACCTCACACAAGGGAAGCCAAGAAATCCTGTGCTGGATTGGCCTGTGCCCCATACCATAGGGGCCAGCTCTTCAAGGTCCTCCTCTCCCCTATGTTGGACTGGGAAGGACACTTAGCATCTGTCCTTAGTGTGTTGGATGCCTGGTACTAGGGCATAAGACACTAAGGACTCTGAGTGGTGGTCTGTGGCCCTGAGTGTCATTGATCAGAGTCACTACAGATGAAATGACAACTTAGAGAGTCTGGGCAGTAGGCAGGCCTTTCCTGTTGGTGTCATGTGACTACAGTGAGGAGCAGTGAGATGAAATACCCTAGAGTTGAAAGGAAACTGCCAGAAAAGTGTCAGGTGAGTGTCTGGCAAGGTGGTATAATTGTATTGTAGACCCCACTATGATGATTAAACCATGGTCAGAACTCAAGGAAATCCTGAATGAAAAGCAATGGGTCCCAGTGGTGGAAAGCTGGCTAAGGGAAGAGCTGACTGAGGGAAGTGCAGAGGCATAGAGCCACATTGCCTAGGAGCTGCCTACCTGACCCCAGGGCATATCCATGGTGTAAGGAAGTCCCCAGTCCTGTGACCCATGGCCCTGCTCCAGCAAGATGGCTTCCACTCAGCATTCTTCAGTTATGTATCTAGCAAAGTTTAGTTTCCTACTTCTGATCCCTCTCTTCAGTCTTTTCTTGAGAAAGACGTTAATCTGAAGAGATGTGTGGGTTCAGTGTCTACGTCCTCTGTGTTAACAAGTCTCTCAGGAAAGGCATCTTTGGAGGCCTGGCTTAATCCTCAGTGCCCTTTCCAACCTTCAGTTCTGAGACCAAAGGTATGTCAGGCTAGCCTAAGTAGGCCCTGAACCCATGCTGAGAAATTCAGAGTGACTTCTGGAAGCAAACGGGGTTGTTTTCAGTATGAGCCAGTGAGTAGAAATCCAACTAACTGGGAGAGGTCAAAGGACGGTGTAGTGCTTCTCTCTGTGAGCACTCTCACAAGTGGTTATGGATGTAAAAGTGGGGGCCTGTCTTAAGAGGAAGTATGTGCTATCACTAGGAATGATTAACAGAACATGGGCCACCAACTTACCCAAGAAGAGGAGAAATGCTTTGAACATGGATAGGGTTTAGGTGATGATGTAAACTGTAAGGTCACTTCCCTGCGCAGAGTCCTCAGTTTCATAAAAACAATCAAGATGGTGACAGTTCTGAGACTCTTCTTGTATCTCTGATATGTCAGGTCTTTTTTCCCTTGTGGCTTAGAGAACTGCATGACTCCAAGATGGAATGGTGCACATACTATATGTCTTCCACTAATTGATTTGTTGTTGTCTGGAAAGCTATGTTGAGAAGGCTCCTGAGGCTATATTCATATGAAATAGAAAAGAATTTCTGTGGTTGATTAGTGATGTCTCTCATAATCACCTTGCAGCAAACTGAGCACCTTATTGAATGGACAGTCAGGGAACCGTTGAAGGACTGTCAGCAGGGGCAGGCCAAAGTCAGATTTTCAGTTCAGAAAGAGGAAAAAAAAAGAATTGATGGTAGAGCCATCAGGAAGTTCTTTCAATAAATAGTCAGGAAAGGATGATGGCTTCAAATAAGATAATGACAATGTGGGTGGAGAGAAGGGGGTCAATCTAAGATCAATTTAAGAGAATTTCTCTCCAGTTAGGGTATCTCGGGCATCTCCTTGCTGAGAGTCAGTACCTGCTTTGGATAAGAACTTTTAAGGCTGGACCCTGCAATCACCCCCAAGGAACAGGCCAAAGAGGCAAGGCTGAGCAGTCCGTGTCATCTGAGTGGACTCAGAAAAGGGCCGGAAATAGCATGGCCCCAGTATCCGACTGCCCTAGCATCCATTCCCAGCTCTTACACGTGGTGGCTGTTCACCCTCAGGCAGCTCACTTTTCCCTCATGTAGTAAATAGGTACCATCCAGTACCGGAAGGATGCCTGTGAGCCTGGAGTGAAGGAATGAAGGTGGATACACTTCAGGTGGGGGACCATCCACCTCTTTCTTCAAGGGCTGGGCATGGCAGCCATGGTACCTGGGTTCTTCCAGCTGCTGTGGACCAGGAATGACTGTATGAGCATCTTGTTGCTTGGCCGTAATTACAGGCTGTGATGACTAACTTATAAGGAACTATCAATTATTAAAAATCAAATTAATTGTCTCAGCCAAGCACAAATATCCTTAACAAAGACTCTTTTCCAGCAGACCAACTGATCTAATCAACAGGCAAAAAGCACAGATATTTAATTAGATTTTTGATGAAAAATCGTGTTTAATTTCGAGTATAATCAATTATTAATTACTGTAATGAGTAAGTCTGACTGGGTTTACTAATTAACTCATTTAAAAATTATGAATAACCTTTTCATTTGTAATTATTTTCTACACCCTATCAAATTCCAGATAAGAATTGCAACACCTTGCCAGCAGAGGGGGAGACAGAAGCAGAGGGCGGGAAGAAACATCCCTTCTGCTGGTTGCTGCCCAGGGCAGCGGTATCTGGGATCCTGACAGATTCATTTGACATTCAGCCTCTTAGCTGGGAACTGTGTTGAAAAATGAGCAACCAGTGACCTTTAAATTGCAGAGATATTTACTGATATTTTCAAGGGAAAGGAGAGGAACTGGAGTCAGCATTTACCACCCATCAAGACTATGGAGCTTGCCTTTGGACTATCCTCCACCCTCCCCAACCCCAGCAAGCTTTACTTGGTCTGAGTGGCCCCTCAAGGGAGGGTCTTCTCACAGCCTGGAATCTCTTCACAGGGTTTTTGACACCAAAGGTTTCCCATTCAGATAGGCAGCCAGGAGGATGCCCTAGCTCCATTTATTCACTCACTTACTGTGGTTTTCAGATCCTTGCTTTCCACTTGATTGTCTTGCCTTTCCTTTTCTAGAGAATTCTGCTTGCAGAATAATATGGAGAGAGCGATAAGAGGGGAAGGCTGTGCACCCATGGCAATAACATATGTTATTTTTATAGCATTTGAATTGTTCGTGGAACATTTTCAGTAAAACAAAAATAGAGGTAGAGTAGTGAAAATATCAATGGTCATTGTCATTTGGATCAGCTTTGATTTTGAGCTTTCCACATACCCCTTTCTGGCCCAAGCACTTCCTGTATACTTTTTCATTGCAATCTCCTAACCCCAATGGGTTAAGACCTCATTTACATATGAAGACCCTGGGACCCAGGGAGCTTAAGTGACTCACTATTACATGTTAAACATTAAGAATATGACTCACCCAACTGCAGGCATTCAGATGCTTTTGGAAACATATTTTACTCTTTTGAGCTCAGTTTTTTCCCCTTCTGCTATAATTTCCCCATCTTAATATTTTGGTTTTTTTTTTTAATTTTTTTATTGTGGACCTAGTATTAGGCCAAATCCAGGACATGCTTCATCTCTCTGGATCCTCACAATGATTCTATGGAATTAGTATTATTTTCTCACGAGGAATCTAAAGCTCAAACATTTTGGGATCCCACAGCCAGTAAATGACATAGCTGCCATTAAGCTAAGACTCTGATTTCTAAGGCCAAACTTTCAGCCACTGTGCCACAGCCTGTGCTATAGGTCCTGGGCTCAAATAGATGATATAGAGCCAGAAGGACCCCACTTCAGGCCCCAGCTCTGATCCTTGCTCACTCTAAACTTGAACACACATACACATACACACACACACACACACACACACACACACACACACGAGTACTAGATTTGCTTTACCTTATTCCCACCTCTCCCAATCCCCCTCCAACTCTTCCTGTGTCCTCCAACTCCCTCTCAATTCCTTGTCCTCTTTGATTATTGTTACATAGGCATACTTACATTTACAAATACACACACACAAAAAATGTACTGAGTCCATTTAGTGGTGCTCACATTTATCTGTGTTTAGGACTGACCACTTGGGATTAGATAACCTCTCAGGAAGCTCGTCCCTGGAGAAAATTGATTCTCCTTCCCTCAGCATCCATTGATTGCCTACAGCTCTTCATCTAGAAGTGGGACTCCATGAAATGTCCCCCACCCACCTTAGCATGTCAATTGGTTTTGTCATTATGCAGATCTTGTTAGACTACCACATGATTGAGATTTCATTGGCTGAATGCCTTTCTTAACCTCTCTGAGCCTCGGTTTTACATTTCTATATTGTTCTTATGATGGCCTAGCTGGGATGATGACCTAGTTTACAAAAAGAGGAAACCAAGCACAGTAATCTCCACTGAAGCCTGGCTTCTGAAATTAGGCAACTCACTTTATTACTTATGCTCTTTGCAACATTAGTTCCCCTGTCTGTAAGATGGGGACAAGACTATATCACAGGGTTGTTGTGAAATTCAAGAAAGACAGTATATATAAAGTAACTAGCCAGGCATGGTGGTACAACACCTTTAATCCCAGCACTCCAGAGGCAGAGGCTGGCAGATGTCTATACGATTAAGGCCACCCTGATCTACATAGCAAGGTCCAGGCCACCTGGGGCCACAGAGAGACTTTATCCCAATTAATTAATTAATTAAAGTATCTAACCTCCAGTTGACACAAAGTGAACACCCAATGAAAGTTAAATACTGGTATTACCGGTACCATTGTCATAAAGCAGAGCGGATCTTTATCTTTTGAGGGAGGACCTGGGCCAAGCCTGTCTTGCTGTAGTCTGCCAACTTCCCAGCCTGCATTAGCCACAAGATCAGCCGAGAGAGCAACCAGGGTACTTGTCAGAGCCCATTTGTAGGGATGTCTGACTATTCCAGGAGAGCAGCCACAAGAAGAACCATCATCTAAAATGCCCCTCATGTCTTTTCTTTAACTAGGACAAAAGTTCATTTTGCTCCACTGGCAGTTGCTTGTATCCAGATGAAACTGACAGCTTCCCTTGTGTTCTGAACAGCTG